TTTTTTTTTTTTTTTTTTTTTTTTTTTCGAGCATGCAATTCATAGCCGTAGTTCCTTTCAGCCCGGTACAGCTAGCTAGCCATCCTGCGAGCATTTAATCTAGGTATAGCAATAGCCTCTCTCGAGGCGATGCAGAGAGCTGTTTTTCGAGCACCTCTCTTTTTATTATCAATTAGCTATCGATCAAGTATTCGAAAGGAGAAGAGTTTACAATCGTAAGTCTTAATCGCAAAAGGTAGATTTCCATTGCAAGAGTGCAATTGTGACTTATGAAAACCGCAAGATCCCCTGTTTTTTCGTATTAATAAGCGATATTAATAAGCGCCTAGTCAAGTTTTTTGATGTTTCCTCGATGGCTTAAGCTTAAATGAATGAATGCACTCAATCAACGGCACGGGCGCAGATCAGGTGACCGCATTTCTAATAGTTTACGGTCTTGGACAGGATCCACTTATATTAGATTAACATTATATCAGATTAACATTATATCAGATTAACATTATATCAGATTAACATTATATTAGATTAGATTCTTTCTCCTCTTTATTGCTCAGCTTTAGTCTTTCATTACATTTTTCGAGAAGAATACCCAGCTCTTGAGTTTCCCGAGATAGGATCGGCTTGACGCATGCGCGGAAACGGGCGAGCAGCGGGATTCTCGCTTCCCCTTTTCCTCGCTAGAGAGAGGGGGGGCGCGATCACGTGCCTAACACCCCTGGCGCTTATCTATTCTATTCTTGGGACAGGCTGTTGTTCTAGCGGTATGAGATCTGAGATGTGAGATACCAAAGGTCCCGGTTGGGAAATCGATCTGTACCCCACTCCAGTCCAGTCCACTCCAGTCCACTCTCCACCAGATTCCCCGAGGTTGTGCTCCTCTCCTGGTTCCGTATCCCAGTGACCAAAATAAGCGAGTGATGTTGTGTTTCCATACGAGCTAGTGCCTCGGCAAACAAATATACCGTAGACCCAACTCTGGAAGCTTTTCCCAACCTCTCCCTCTCGCTCTCTCTTTTCGCCTCTCGGACTTTCCGTCTCTGGGTGATTGATGTCAAATCCACCTCAATCGTTTCCTCCCACCTTACCTGAGACACACGTCCGCCACCCGCGAGGATATTTGCATCTGCCGGGGAACGTGATTCGGTGGGCGAAGGGGCCTTTCCGAGATGTGACGGCTGGCAGCATTTTGCCATTCTGCTTTCGGGACAAGCCCCAATGCGAGAAGCCATCTCGTCGTTTTTTCGACTTTGCGTATTGCTTGCTGGGCTGTTGCTGATGGATGTATGTTGCTGACTAACAGTTAGGGTGTCGGTGAGCTTGATGCTCTGCTCTGCTCTGCTCTGCACCGCACCATACTGCAGGACAGGTGTGTGCCACCAACACGTTGGGAGATTGGTACTCTTTTCGTGTATGCATGCGGAAGTCCAATACGAACGGCAAAAACATGATATACGAGTCCTTGAAGATCTGAGGTTGTTGAAGGCCCCGTTGTTAGGCCACTTTATTCAATAGTCCTTCGATAGTCGATGCCTTCTAGAAACTCGTTCTTGGTGCGAATGCAACTGCGATTGCGACTGTGGCTGCTGCTGCTGCTGCTGCTTGGATACGAGGTCGAACTCGCTTCACGCCATGTCATGTCGATCGCACCCCGCAGTTGCATTACATCGGGGTGCTTCCTGCCGCTTTTGGCATGATCTCTAGACATCACCTCACATACGGGGTAAAGGTAAGAGCGATCCTAAGGACCCAGATGAGCTATATAAGCATCCCATCCACTGCAATCTCTCCCTCCAAGATCATCATCATCATCATCATCATCATCATCATCATCATCATCAACATTCAACAATCAACATTCAAAATTCTTCCCCCCCAGCCCCCCCGTTGCCGAGAACCCCATCATCACTCCATCCATCATCCAATCCAAACCCAACAACCCAGCCAATATGAGATCTGCACTCCTCGCCGCCGGTCTTGCTTTGGCCTCCGGGATCTGCGCTCAGGAGGAGCCCTACTACCGCAATCAGTCGGCACCTTTCAATCTCGTCCTGTCATCACGCAACAAGACTCTAGACGGATCCAAGCTCTACGCCTGTCACGAAGGGGCGGCAATCGAAGGCCTCTGCGTCGCCAAAACCGCGCCCGCTTCCTCCGGCGTCTTCACCTTGGTACCGTTGTCACCCGTCACCCACCTCGAGCGGGTCAAGTCCATAGGGATGCATTGCTAACGCCCCGAGCAGAACTACACCGACATCAACGGCCCACCCCAGGACAGCGAGACTGGCTACACCGGTCTGATCACATGGTTGCTCGTGGGTGGCAACTTCGTCACCTCCTCCTCCCTGCAGCTGCAGCCGAGCGCAACGTCGAACGTCGCCGTCCCTCTTTTCTTCCCCGGCCCCGAAGGCTACGCCAATTTCGGCTTCGACAAGGACGACAGGCTCTTCGTTCCCAGCTACATCGACGACACGGTCACTCCGCCCGTGTACCGGAAAGAGCGCCTCTACCGCTGGTACGCGTGCCTCACGAACGCCGGATACGTCTACGAGACCTTGGCTTGGGTGGTGGGCACTTGCAAGCCGCAGAATCCAACCTGCGAGAAGGTGACCGTGAAGCGGGTGTTCATCTGAGGGCCAGCATGGTCGTGGTCGTGGTGGAGGTGGGAGTGTGGTCACTGGCGCTGGGAACGGGTTGTGATGGTTGAAACTGTTGGAGCTGTGCAGGTGGGATTGAGGGACGCATGGAGTTACTTTGGCACGCGTGGTGTTACTTGTAGTAGACTGCCGTCCTTAATTCGATATCATTCATTCTGAAGAGCTTCTGGGCTCCGGAATTCATCCAAAGTGGCTTCCCTACAATAAACCTAGGTCTCTGTAATCTAACCAGTCCCATGTGCGAATCGTGAAATAGGAGATCGCTTGCACTTTCCTAACCTAACTTCCACATTGTGTCAATCACCTTCCCCGCCTGCCTTCCAAACAACACCCATTCCGCATCTGCCATGCCTCTCTCACTCTCTCTCCTCGACCCTCGTACCTTCCCCCCTCGGCTGCCCGCCACAGACAGACACAATCAACCATGAACACTCTTCACACGTCACTCACTCACTCAATCACCCACCAGCCCATTTGCAGAATCAAAGATGGGTAGGTTGGGTGCGGGGATAAGCGACCCCCCAGTCGGAAAGTGCAATCATATTCATCGCGTGGTCGAGATAGCGTACATATATATACACACGAGGTAAGGTATGGTAAGAGGTAAGAGGTAAGAGGTAAGAAGTAATGGTAATGGGTAAATCAGGGCTCTCTAGAAGCACACACACACACACACATACAAAACGCTCAAAACACAAAATCCCAAAACTTGAAGGAAAATGGGAGGGGGGGGGAAGTCGGCAAAAATGATCTCGCTCGCAAGTCTCGCCTCGCCATCCATCCATCCCCCAACAGAAACGAACTTGGAAAGGAGCCAAACCAGACCAGCCATCCTAGGAAGGGGGTATTATCTCGTAAATCTGCTGTCGCCGTATATATATATATATATATATAATGCGTCGTGTGTCGCATAGGCCTTTCCCGCACCAAAAGCACCAGCCAGGTAGATGCATACCTTTCTTACCGCAGCTCTCGGTAATACGCCGAGTAGCTCACCCCAGTCACGTCGCTCACGCTGTACGTGACGCCGTACCTGGAGTCGCGCGCCGTCGCGTCCTTGTCCCAGTCCTCCTCCTCGCTCTCGTCGTCCAGCAAGCCGGAGAGCAGGAGTTTCTTCCAGCACAGCAATTTCTGGTCGGCAAGGTCGATTTTGCGCATCGATTCTCGTGTCGCAGCGTCTTTGGTGACGCCCGGCTCGTCGACGATGGCTTTCTTGATGACGGACCAGGTCTCCCGGAGGAGGTCGACGGGTCCTTCCTGCACGGCTGATTCGCGGTCGCCGGCCATCAGGCACTTGTACGCGTGCAAAATGTCACGGATGCATTTGCGCCATTCTTTGCGCCGCCGATGTTGCATGCAGTAAGCGATGAACGCGTCTGCTTTCTTGCGCCCGTATATGAAGTTGTCGAGCGCGTGGATCTTGGGCACGGTGACCAGGTACAGCATTTCAGCCGTCTCGTACCAATCCTCTGCCGAGATTGTGGATGCCAGCTTCATGGCTTCGAGAAACACTTTCGGCTGGATGTTCGGCGACCATCGACAGACTTCCTGGGGCCGGACGAGAAGGGTCTGGAGTTGCGACACGGAGGACTTCATGGCGTTCCAGTGTCTATCGTGCTTGGTTTTTATGAAGGCGTCAGAGAGCGCGGTTAGGACTTCGCATACTTCGTCGCCGCGCCCGAGGCCTTCGAGCGTGTCGCCGGTCATGTACTCGCAGAGCGTGGAGACCAGCATCCGCACTGCCTTGTCGAGGCGTCCCACACTGAAGAGCAGTACTCCGAGGGAGCGTTGACATTCCAGTCTTTCCTTGACTAGCCCCAGTCTCTCGAAGCCGCTGAAGGATTTCGTGTATAAATCCTCCGCGTCGAATAACCGTTTGGATCGTAATCGCAAGCCGGCTAGTGCATGCATAGTTCGTATCGTTTCAGGCCCCTGGCCAAGTTCTTTTTCGCATGTTACCAGTAACCAGCGACAAATGAAGATGCTCTGGTGCAAGTTATGTTCAGGACCAGTGTTTTCGAGAGACTTGAAGAAAAGAAGAAATTCGGGGATATGTCGAGCTATCTTTCCCTCGGCGCAGGCAATTTCAGAGTACTCCACCAGAGCTTGAAGATATGCTGACTCAGCATTTCGCAAAGAGCCGCTTTCCCGATATGTTTGAGCAAGGTCCATTTTTTCTTCAAATGTGGCCAGACTTCCGTCCAAGGCTCTTTCGTCTGCGTTGTCGCCGATAGGAGGTAGCATGTCATCGCTGCCCCGAAGGTAGGACGTCTGACCGGCAATATCAAAAGTTGACAATCTGGAGGCGATCCGCGGGAAGTCGATCACTACACCGTGTATTATGCTATCTGATGGCTCTGTGCTGGTTTCTTTTCCGGATACCTTTTGGATATCGGTGGGTTGCACACTTGAGCCGCGGCGGTCCATCTGATATACCATTTGATCGTCATTAGAGGAAATCGTGTCGTCCCCGACATGATTGACATCCAAGAGGACCGGGTTGATAGTCAGATATTTCATCTGAGGAAGCGTGTTGTGGTCTTGGGAAGTCGATGGGGGGCTTTGAGAGAGCTCTTGGAGGTTGGATGACGAGTTTGGCGAGGAGGGGGGTCTCAGAGGACTGAGGGCAGGAAGCTCATCGGTGTAGCTAGGCGGTGCTGGAGTCGTCACATCGCCGTCAGCATCCTCATCGCCATCCTGTCCTCTAGGTGCGTACCCCATCGCCGGAGGTTGATAGTGAGGCATGCTCTGCTCCCTCATCTGGGGAGCAAAGTGCTTTCCCATTGGCTTCACGCTCTGCTCCGTGACGGGAGTGACACTCTGCTCCATCTTCGGCGTGACACTCTGTTGGCCCGTTGGCCCTTGGTTTCCCGTCGTCGTGCGGTAGTCAGCGAGGGTGATCGTGACATCTTCCGACGTGGGCGACGGAGACCGCTCCGGACCTGGGGTCGAGTAGCTTATATCTCTTGGCGTGCCTATAGTAGTGCAAGTCAGTTGCGGCGGTTCGTCCGGTGCGTCTGTGCCATGCCGTGCTGTGGAGTGGAGTGAAGATAGATGCATTCATTGCCTGCCCAGCTTACCTGGATCCGGACTTGCCATCCGCGCTTTATTTGACATCTTCCTGCGCTTGAAGTGTTCGATCTTCTCGGGCGGGATCAAAGAGTTGCCGTGATAGAATATGGTATCCTTGCCCTCCTCTTTCTTCCTCTTCTCCCTCTTGGCGACGGCGAAGCTCATGACGGCCGAGGGGAAGTACTTTTCAAAGTTCCACTCCTTGAGCTTCATCTTCCACTTCCTCGGGCTGAAGAGGTGGGGAGTCGAGTTAGTTGGGTTTCGTACAGTTACAGTACCACCGTACCGGGCCTCTCGCGGCAACACGCCACCGGAATCGGAATCGGAATCGGAATCTGACAGGACGGGGGCCATGTAGGCCATTACTTACCTTGCCTTGAAGCCGTACTTCTCCTCGATCATCCGCATGGTGACCTGGAGCGTGCGGTCCTCCTCGATATAGATGCGGCGGATCTCATCCTTATGGAAGTTCCATCTCTTGTCGTTCCGCAGCCGACACGAGGCCTCCCTGGCCGAATCCGACGTCTTGACGACGGTGTTGTCTCGGGGGATGGGAGGGATGGGGATGGAGAGGTGTTCAGGTGGGAGGGCCCGCTGCCGCTGGGGCATCATGAGGAGGGACTGCGAGTGAGTATATATGAGAGGGCTCCCAAGCACAGATGGGGTTAGCCGTAAACCGTTAGTCCTGACTCGTGACTTCGATGGTCGTTGGGTAAGGAGGTGGTAGGTGGTAGGCGGTAGGCGAACCGTGAGTGTAACGACTTCAAGCCTTCAAGGCCAGGCCAGAATCCCAAATCAGACCTCAGACCAGGGATGAGGTTCGGCTATTGCGTAATGGGATTGCGTGAGGTGGTCGTCGCGTTGTGTCGTATCGTGTCGTATCGTGTGGTGGGCTGGTGGGCTGGTGGCCGACGTTGGAGTATCGCGAATGTAATCCTGGACATCAGATCGCGGCTGACAAAAAGTCTCGCGTAGCGGCAGATGGTGAACCGGACCCTGGCCCGGCCGCCAGGATTAAAGTTCAGCCGCCATCGGTTCCATCTCGGCCAATGCGGACAAAGTGCAATTCCTCCACTCGGAGAAAATCCTTTGCTACGTAGGATCATCAGCCTTGTCTTGTATTGTGGAGTAGAAGAATAAACAGAAAGAATACTAAGGTAGGTACTAGTAGGTAGTCAAGACTGGATATCTCCCATCTCAACATGGTTTCAATCACCTACTCAACGAGATATAGGCTATGTAAACACAACAATACGGAGGTAGCCCCATGAGATCTGGCGTTTGATGAACTGCTGAGTACCGAAACCGCGAATAATCATCATGGCCATCGCGATGATTTGGATTTAATCCATTTGATCACCAAATCGATTCGTATAATGACCTCGTAATATGATAACGGTATCGATCCGGTAGTGCCGTAGATTCGCCGTACCCAGGCACTAAGTGTATTCCAGATAAAGCGTGTACTAGGAAATAGTCAAGCAGCAGCGCACTGAGGATTGCACTAGTACGTTCAATCAATCTTATTTGAACTCTAAGCTTTAATGAACTTCACAGCTACTTTCAGCAGTATAGGGAACTGATCCTAGAAGCCCCAACGCTTCAAGTAAACATCTCTGATCGCGATCTACACTCCACACTCTAAGTTTGGGCCCCAGCAGTACGAGCAATGGCACAGAGAAAGCTAACAGTCCCCAAGCAAAGAATCCGAATGTCGATGAAACCGACAGTCACCAAGAATACAACCAGTGGGCGTGGGCCGGGGCTGGCTGAATGCAGGCGCTGGAATGACGCTAGGCGCCGATGACTAGGCATCCCTCCTACTGCCAGTTCTGCAACGCCGTCTCCCCATCTCGGATCATCGCCAGCTTCAAGCTATCCTCCCACAGCTGCTTTTGTTTCGCCTCGTCACGCGATTCAATAGAAGAAACCCCCTTCACGCTTCCGTTCAAGTAGACGGCCTTCGGATGACTTCCCAGATGCTCCTCATCAAAGCATGCGAGCATCAAATCTTGCGCAGATTTCCAGGGTGGGCGGTAAGATCCATTGGGCATGATGTAGACGAGGATAGTCTGAAGGAACACGAGGACGTAGGCGGTGATAAAGCGGATGAGTGCTCCGGACCTCTTCGTGATGCCTGTTCCTCCCATTGCTGCGGGATCCAGGGAGAGTACTGAGATGTTGGACAATGCCGGATCTAAGTTCAGCCTGCGCTGGAGCTCGTACCTGTCACGTGTCAGAATGGAGGGAATAGGTGGTGAGCGCGAGGAACGTACATCCACATCACTCCTAAGAGCTTACTAACGCCATAACGTCGCATACCTGCATTCCAGCCGGCGTCGGTGTACGTGATACCTTTGGCGAGGGCATCGGTACTTGTAAACATAGTCTGTAGTGAAGTAAGCTACTCCCCTAGACGATTCACCCTTGTTTGTTTACGAAGCAAGCGATACCGAGACTCAGGGCAAGGGCTGTTGGACCACACACACCTTGAATTCCTCGGGGTAGATGGCACTTGGTGAGTTGTTTCTCGGATCATCGGCATCATGCGTCCAGGACGAGACGAAGACAATTCTGCCGTGCTCCTTATCCATCGACTGCAAGATATCCAGAACCAGCACGAAGTTCGCGAGGTAGTTGGCTCCGAACGCCATCTCGTACCCCTCCACCGTGAAGCTCGTCGGCTCCAAAGCGTCATCCCCAGCATTCTGAAAGCCAGCATTTAAGATCACAGCCCGAATTGGCTCGAGGGTGCCATCGGAGACCCGCGCATTAATGTCGGCTGCCAGGCTTCGCACACTTTCCAAGCTGCCGAGATCAAGGCTGAACACTTCGGACGTGGTCTCGGCAGGCGCACTTCCCAGGACCTTCCCGAGCTCGGTGGCCGAGGAGGGATTCCGGACGGTGTAGAGGCCACGGTATTGTTTGCCCAGGGGCGATTTGGTAAAGTTGGCTACGAATGCGCTTCCTAGGCCGCCATTGGCGCCCGTGATGAGGATGCTGCCTCTGCGTTCGAGGGCAGTTGATGGGGCCATGATTGATGCGACTTGCAGAGGGCAGAGGTTGATGAGGAGACGGGGAGGGTTTGTGTGGAAGGTGGAAGGTGGAAGGTGGAATACGGTGAATGCGATGGAGAGTGGATTGAGGGAGATGAGTTTCTTCAAGCGACTTGGATTCAAGTTAGAGGAAGGTCAGAATGCCAAGACCGACTTGTCACGAGCTGAGTCGCGTGACACCACGGGAGGCACGCCTGCCTCCTGAGCTGAAAGAGCAGGCATTAGTCATCCATACGTTGGACACCTGGACACCTGGGCACCTGAACACCTGGATTGATCTTTTTGCATCCGGATGGTGATGATAGTCGAACAAGAAACCCGCATCAGCGGAGAAGGAGCAGGAAAGTCATGGATGGCACCTTCCCCTTCGGATCAGCAACAGTTCAGCAGTTTCACCGCATCGGATTTGCAAGAGCCTTCCTTAGGAGATGCTATCTCCAGTACACCTACCTAGGTACGTATCTACCTCTCTCCTACTATACCAGTGAAAGCAACTCTAACATCGCAAATCGCAAATCGCAAATCGCAAATCTAGAAACTCGCCTCGCCCATCCTCCTCACGACTTCCCCCAGCTCCTTCAAGGTCTGCGCATCCCTCGGGATAGTGTGTCCCTTCCCATGATCGAACAGAATCGCTTCATCTTGCTCACAAACATAGAACAACGCCATCGCGCCCTGCAGGTACGGGTCATCCGCCCCGATGCAATGCAGCGTCGGCACGTCCACGACCTCTCCGCTGAGATCCGCCACCAGCATCCCGTCATTCTCCAGATCCAGCGGTGGCCACCCGGCGAAGAACACCGCGCGCTTGATCATCCTGGGCCGGCCCTCGTCCCGGAGCCGCCGACGCTCGTCCACGATGAGGGTGCTGCCCGCGACGGTGCCTTCCGAGTAGGCGCAGATGCCGTCGAAGGGCCCGTGTTCCTCCATGGTGGCGTAGATGGCGGTGAGCGCGGCCCGGACCGACTCCCGAATCTTGGTGTCACCCTCCGGCAGCAGCTCCCGGAGGACGTCCTCGGGGCTCTGGCTTTCGGGGAAGTCGCGCACACGTTCCAGCACGTCATTCTGATCGATTCCATCGTATTCGATGAAGCGGTAGTGAGGGGCTGGCCCAACTGTTTTTTGGAGGGGGATGTTAGTTGGGCCTTGTTTCAGGAAATCGTGAATGAAATGGTGGGCGGCGAAGGAGCCGAGTCAACACAGCAAGCGAAAATTATGGTGTGGCGCTTTTCTCGCTTTTCTCGCGTTCCGAGACGGTTTGTCTGGTGGAATTGTGCAAGACTCACAGTACTCGAGGAATCCTGCCGGTGGTTGGCACGGATTCTCGCCTTGAGTGAAGAAGAACTCGACTTTGCCATCGGAAGAGAGCTCCTTACAGAAGGGGGCTTCAAGATCCGATTAGCTCACATATTCTGGTGGGCGCTGCAAAGCGTACCTAGCTGGACCTCGAAGTTCTGGTTGGAATTAGAAGTGACCAACGGTTGTTGGTAGGATTTGCACCTACCTTGGCGCTGCCATAGGCACCCGGTAGGCAAAGAAATCTCATCTTGCGTCTCTCTCCTTCGTCTTTTATAATCCACAGCTTTTACTTCCCCCACAAGCTCCTCTTGTATGACACGAAATATCGACTCCCGGTATCGCGTAATGGAATTGACTTGGCTTGTTCAAAAGCTTCCCCTATCTCTTTTTCTACCTATCTTCTGTTGGGCTCTCGACCTTCCACTTGCGATTGAGCACTTAGGGCTTTTTCAGGTTTGGCTCTTGGTTTTTCTGTCCGTTTTTGGCTTCTCACTCACACAAGAGATTGACGAAGGTGGCTTCCGTTCTCAACTATCTCTCAGCTTTTGCATTTCAATTATGAAACTCGGATGCAGCCAACTTACAGATACGACTTGTTCTCTACGGGGCTGAGGCAGTTAGGCTTCCACTTATCGAGAGCCTCGATAAGTACCAACGAGGGAGCTTATCACAGGTCGCACCCTCTATGCGTCAGATTGCGAGGATGAATGATCAGGTCCTGGTATGAATGATCATCAGATCTTCATGCATGATTCCTGCATGGAGCAAAGAGACGTGCATAACGAGGTTCTTCAGTAAGTGGACTGCACGGGGTTTTATAGCGTAAGATTGATGCGGGTAAGGCGCCGGCATATGATGAGAGCATAGGTCTGACCGTGACGGGACGAAGCGTGATGGCTTTGGTCCCGTCTCGGCACCCGCATGGGAAGTAGTAGTAGTAGTAGCAGTGGTCGCAGTGGTAGTACCGGTAGTAGCAGTAGCAGTAGCAGTAGCAGCAGCAGCAGCGGTACCGTACTTCGTAGTACTCCGTCGTACTCCGTATTGCTTAACGTCTAACGGACCTGCATGGGAAGAAGGTGCAAGCGGGCGGCTTTGTGCTTGATGATCGGACGTTAGACTGTACGTTCCCGGCGTGCCCCAAGGTCCAAATTCCTTGTGTCCCGGCGTCCGTACTCCTGTCCAAGTCTGTCATTGTGCTGCTGAGGGATGCTGGGAGATATTAACAATGGAAAGTCGTGGAACCCAAGGCGATGTGCGGGGAAATAATATCCGAGAGAAGAGTGCTGCGATTGTTGTACGAGTGCTCGTTCGAGTACCTCTGGCATGGACATATAAACAGGAGGAGCCTGAGTGCCTAGACTCGTGCCTAGACTCGTGTCTAGACTCGTGTCTAGACTCGCGTCTAGACTCGTTCACGTCTACGATGTCTATCTCTACTGCATTCTGCCTTTCAGAATAGATTGCCGAGAGCGACTTGGCGTTGATGATCGACGGAGCAACTCTCCAGCTGCAGGGTGACGATGTTTTGATTCGCCTCTTGCTTCCAAGTCTCTAACCGACCGTTAAGGGGCTCACTACCGGTAATTCGAAGGTGCCACACCCCCCAACTCAAACCCAACTCAGGCCCATAAGTCAATTCTCACTACCTCCTTCACCGATCCAAGTTCCTCTCGTCTTTCACTCTTCTCTCTTGCCCTATTGCCCTCTTGCTTTCTTGCTTTCTTGCTTTATTCTCCCTCTTCCAACCTTTCCCCCTTCCTCCCCACGCCCCCCCCCCCCCCCCCCCCCCCTCCATCGTCACCTCCCACAACCACAACCACAACACAACACGACTACAAAATAATCACGGCGCAAGCTTACCCGCTTGGTCCAATCCTGTCATACATAGAACATACCCGTGAACCCACTGGCAGAGAACCTCGAGTACCAGTCTGCCAATGCCATGGAACACATGAGACGAAGACGACGATAGCCCGGATCTGGAATCTGGATCTGAAGCTGAGTTGGCAGCAATCACCAGATTTTCGGTCCTCGCTCCTCAGAGATTGGCTAATTCCAATTCCTTTACTCGTATAAACAATAATGACAATAATACCCC